AAGAGAGAAAAGTCCAGAGGGAAAAGTCCAACTGCAGAAAAGGAAAATCTGATTGGAAATTGCAAATCAGAAGAGAAAGGTCAAAAAAAAAATGGATTGATAGATAGAGCTAAACAGAAAAGAAGAGAAAAAGGGTTCTAATAAGCTAAAAAGTATCAAAAAAGCGAAACATACACTGACAGAATCCCCAACACAGCTGTAGAGATAAATGGAGGGTGCAAAATAGTGCAAAAAAGCGAAATATGACAACAAAAACACTAAAAGAAAGCATGAAAAACATTAATACAGCACTATAAATAATTTTACCGTCACAGGATTAAATCAGAAGGTATGATGGGGGAAAGAAACACCAATGCGACGTGTTGTGGTGGGGAAAAATTATACATGTGGTCACCATGTGGTGTTTGCTGCTGTTTCTGGCAAATGCCGCTGACGCGGCTCAGTAAAAGAGAGCACCGTTGCTTACATGATCTATTATGTAATAACTGTCACCTTCTTCTCTTTATATATTAGATAGATGTGTTGTGAAAAATCTCGTAGTGACAAGGTTTTCGGAATCAGCTGTAATTAAATGCTTTGCTTTGCTGTAAAGAATTTGATTGCCGCCATGCGTTGAAAACTGATGTGAAGAATACTTATTATTACTTTTGTATTTAAAGTTGGTAAAAACACCTTTAACGCACTGGCACGCGTCTGGCCTCACACACTTGCGAGACCTAAGCGTGTTCATGAAATAATAAGCACATAACCAGAAGAAAGTGGTGTTACGTACCAAGCACTGAGCATTGGATATTGGATATTGAACATTGACGTTGACACCAGAGGCAAACACCAGGGCAGTTGGAAATCAACTGCCTTAAGGGCAGTTGATCTGCCTATGTTCCGCAGTTTGTCCGGTTGACAGGTCTTGGCTGATTGTTTTAATTACTAAATTTGAATAATTGATTACATAAAATATATCTTGACATTCAATCAGATATCTTCCGAAGCTGTTCACATTGCTCCCCCATCTGAAATGCCCCCTGTCATATGCACCTGTTCATACTGCAGAAAGTGCAAGGTAACTATCAAGGGTATTGAACACCCAGGCAAGGCGGTTTCTGCACAAACTCGTCGGGAGCACGAGAAGCGTGATAAAGATGGGCATTCTCCAAAGCGGAAGCATCGAGCATCCTCAAGTTCAGNTCTCAAACAACCTCAAGCACCAGATCTCCCAAAGGG